ATAGTTATGTTGAGGTTTGAATTTGAGCATAGTAGATTCGAGTACTTAAACTTCAAAATAGCAAAGTATGTTTGGTGCGTTTACGCTCGAGCACTAAGGGGAAAATCACGAAGTGAGATGGGACCTCGGGTTCCACAGCTCTGAAACCCACAACACGACGAGAATGAGAGAAGAAGGGGGAAGATACAGGACTACGTGTTTGTTGCGGCTCTAGGTTGTTGCGCGAGGCAAGCAACGAGTAGAGAGAAAGAGGAAGACAGAGGAGAGAGAGTGGGCTTGAGGCGTGGCCTAGCCTAAAGAGGGAGAGAGAGAATGGGAACATGTGATCAGGATAGGTGAGACATAGTTTCTCTCTTTGAAACTTTTCTCGCTCCTCGCTGCTGGATCCAAGGATTAGAAAGCAAAAGACAAATAGATACAAGCTTAAAGTCTCGATTTCGTTAATGAATGACACAACCCTTTTACAATTGACCTAAGCTTGTTTATATAGAGAACCCACCAAACATGGGTGGATGCTCAAAACTAATCCTAATTATAATTAAAATAAATTACAATAAAATCCTGAATTTAAGAAAAAAGACCAAAATGCCCCTAAAAGCTTTTGTGGTAATGACGAAACCATCCTTCTCTGAGGGGCTTTTCACCATTGCCAGATCTTGAGAGCTTTTTTGGATGGTTGTGACGGTGGTTCAAACGATCCATTATCATAATCTTGATGCTTGCTTGATTCTAAAGAGTTTGATGTCTTTTGATCGTCTTGGGACAGACTTTTCCCAAGGGGTAAAAATCCAACTAGATTGTGAACATTTGACCATCAATGTAGTGCGATCCATGGCGCTCCGAATCATTATTTTGATCGCAAATTAAAGAAGAGACTGTCATAATCGCTTTGCACCAACTTTTGTCTGATTTGGTTCTTGCTTGAAGTATTTCTGAATTCGAGAGATCACCGAAAAAAGGGATTCTGGTGATCGGGAAGTCTTACCTTCTTCAACCTTGAAAGTTGCGCTATCCGACCTTAGATTGTGTGCAAAAAGTTCTACCAGCTTGTAGCCCTTCGTAATACGGTCTCATCGGACTAGACTTTGCGATGATCCGATGTATGGATCTCGAGTTATTGCTTTTCGAATTTCGAGATGTATTTTCTTCAAAACTCTGATTTCCATAGTTTCGGGCTCATCTTCTCTCTAGAAAATCTTAAGTTCTGGGTCACGTTATGATGCGTGTCATATGTCAAAATGATCGAGTCGTCAAGACCTATCTTGTGTCTGAATTTGAGCTTGTTCCGACTGCAAACGAGCGATATGTGGGTGCTTGAAGTTCGTCCGGATATGTGAAAACACAGCCTCCATGATTGGAAACTGGTTTGGTGATGTTGCACCGCAATCGTGTAAAACCTATCCGTTTTGTGGTAATTTGGGCCCAGAATGCTCTTGGGAGGTCCGGTTGAGCCCAAATTTGGGACTTTCTTGATACAATGGCAGTGGTCTGGTATTGTTTTGAAGCCCTCAGCATAGGGCTATCGTTGTAAGGTCTTTTTTCGGCATGATATGAACTAGTCTTTGAGAACCGAATTTCGTCCTGATCAAGTCAAAACTTATCTAAATGTGATGAAACTTTGTGTGTATCCTTCAAGTATCTGAATGTGATGAAACTTTTAGGCTTATTTTGCAGTGTTCCCTTGGTTTGGCGGTGTCTTGGGTACCGACAGGACTACGTTGTTATTGGCTCTCTTCTTATTTATATCATATATGTAAGTACATCAAAATTGACATACAACAAGGGATACAATGGAAAGGAATAAGAAAAAAAATTAGGATTTCATCATAGTTAAGAAAATTGAAGTTTGGAATGAAAGTACAAACTTAATTAATATAAATTGAATGTATAGTAATAATACAAAAATTGCAACTGAATTTATGTGGATTTACATCTTCAAAGTAATCCAAACTGTAGATAGGCATAACGATGTTTCTTATCATGTGCTATCCAACCAGCAAACACCCATATCCCAGGGACAGAGCAATTCAAGAAGAAGCCAATTCTTATAAAAGCCCATCCCCAAGACATGCTTCTCCAAGTACCCAAATGAGCCCATATCATTTTCTTATCAAAAGGACGGCCTCTCTATCTTAAAGGAAGCTGTCGGAGATTCCTTCTTATCAGATCAATCCTCCTTTTCGACTACAAGAAGATGAATCCTCTCAACTCTAAGGGCATTTGAGTTTTCACTTCTCACCACTCTCTATTCCGATCTCTATCTCAATCACTATTGCTCCCTCTCTATTCCGATCTCTGTCTCTCTTACTCCTTGTAAGTGTTATACGTCATTTTTTATGTACTTATATTTCCGAGTCTCATAAGGAGAGAGCCAACAACAACCTGGTCATGCCGGTACCCAAGACAGACCATGAGACACTGCCAAATAAGCCTAAAAGTGAGGAGCCTTGAAAATAAAACATTGGAAAGACTTCAAAAGGTATGAAAATGGTAGTTTGGGACGCCTGAAAGTCGCTCATGAAGTTTCGTCACATACCGATAAGTTTTGATATGATCAGGATGAAACTCGATTCTCAAATCCAACTCATATCATGCTGAAAATGGACTTTATAACTACAACTTTATTTTTGGGGCTCCAAAACTATACCAGACCACATTCATTAGATCCGGAACTTTGAAACGCCTCCAGGAATAAATTTGGGTTTAATCAGACCTTTCAGGACCATTCTGGACCTAAATTATCATAAAAAATTGGGTTTTACACTATTGCAATACAACCTCGATGAACCAATTTCCATTTATGGAAACTGGGTTTTCACTTCTCGGGATGATTTTCAAATGCTCATACCTCACTCGTTTTGAGTCGAAACAAGCTCAAATTCTAATGCGAGCTAAGTCTCGACAACTCGGTCATTTTGACATATGGAACACGTCATAACATCACTTGAGACGAGAGAATTTCTAGAGAGAAGGTGAGTCCAAAAACATGAAAATCAAAATTTTAAAAGAAGACATCACATACTCCGTGAAGTCATAACTTGAGATTCTGGAGTCAGATCGTCACAAACATAGGTCTGTTGCAACTGCATCGCGAAGGGTAACAGTTTGGTATAATTTTTGCACTTAATTGAGGGCCGGATATCACTAATTTCAAGGTTGAAATGACAAGTTTTTTTGTCGTCGGAATCACAATTTCCAGCGACTTCCCAATTTAAGGATATGCTCAAACGGAAACCAAATTAGACGAAATTTTGTGCAAAACGATGGTGACAATGTCCCCTTTAATTTGTGATCAAAATGAATACTTCAGACATCGTAAATCCCACCGGATTGGTGGTCGAAGTTTATGGACTTGACCAGAATTTTGCCCCTTCATAAAAAATTGGTTTCAAGACGATCAAAAGGGATCAAATGTTGGTGATAGATCAAGCATCAATTCTACAACGATCGATCGCCCGAATCACCACCGTAAGCGTTCGAAAAAGTTCTAACAATGGCAAAAGACCCCTCATGAAGGGATGGTTTTGTTATTTGTTCAAAAGAAATAAAGGGTATTTTGGTAATTTTATCTAAAAACGAGATTTTATTTTAATTCCATTAAATTGTAATTTTCTATAATTTAACTTAGTTTTGAACATTCCCCATGTTTTGTGGTTGCTCTATATAAAGAACTCAAGTCATTTATAAACCTAAGTTGAGAAGTGTAATAAAAAATGAGTTTTTTACCCCTTCAAGCATTCAATTGTATATTGCTTCCAACTTTAAGAAAGATGAGAAAAAAAACTTTACCACCTTGGATAAGTGCCCTTGTACCTCCCAATTCCTCGAACCCCAAAGTTCCAACTACCTTAGGATTTCCAACCTCCAATCCCATACACCATAAAACTCTTAGCTTCCATACAATTTAGAACCCCTAGCTTCACTACACCCCTATTATCTCTCACCCGTGCACGCCCCTATCATCTCTCACCCATGGACGCCCCTTGATTTTCACTAACCCATGCACGCAATATACCCTACACTTCCCTCTCTCCCTCACCTCCACGCAACTTCTCTAACCTCTCTCCTTAAATTTTTTCTTTCTCCCTCCAAATCTCACCCCTCTCTCTCATATACGTATCTACCTCCCTCCATCTCTCCTCTCCACTCGACCTTCCTCTCTCTCATATACGTATATATCCCTCTCTCCCCTCTATTTTGTTCAATCTTTATCCCCCTCTCATGCCATTATTTTCTCTATTTCCTGTAATGTTCAATCTCTTCCCCTCATTATTCCACATATCCCTCTTTCTCTCAACTCTCCCAACCATCTTTATCTCTCCCAACTCTCCTAACAAATCATCCCTATCTCTCTTCCCTCTCCTCTCCCTCACGTACTTCTCTCTCTTCCCCATCACGTACTTCTCTCTCCTCACCCTCATACTCACATCACATTCTCTCTCTTACATATTCCACTCACACTCCCACTCACACTCTCACACTCACACACACTCACATCACACACACTCACACACACTCACATTCACTCACACACACTCACATAACACACTCTCACTCACACTCACTTCACTCACTCACACACTCACATCATACACTCACTGATACACTCACTTCACTCTTTACCACATACTCTTATCTCCACTCTCTTACACACCCCTTTCACACACTTCCACTCGTACTTCAACCATCCGAACCTACACTGTTTTGAACACACCTTAATCATCACAACCCTCTATTCTTTTGTATTGGTAGCTTCTTCTATTCTTTGTGTGTTCGACTGGGCGCCACACTTAGAGCCATTTTAAGGGTTTTAACTTTCGAACCGCTACTCTAACCTCTATCCTGTAGAGTCGAGCTGAGTTGAGAAAGATATTGATGCTATTTTCCTCACTCACTTGGATGGGGTCATCATGAGTTAGCAATCTACTAGTCTTTGTGTATAGATTTTTGGACATTTTCTTTAAATGGTCTCTCATTGTATACAATCCCAAAGTTAAAAATAGTTGAACTTCCATATTCCAGGATAGTAGATTCCCAACCAAATAGTATATCAAACGAAAGAAAACAATTTTATAGGAAATGTACAGTATTACCAAACATGAGGAAAAAAAATCATGTGAAATCTAAATCTAAGAAATCTATTTCCTAAAAAATTAATTAATAAAAAAAATATTTCACGCTAACCAAAGACGCCGCCCTAGATGTGGTTTGTATTGTCATCTGAAGTAGGTGTGGCCTGTTCCTCCTCGAGTGGAAGAGTAATCTCATAACCCTTGGGCAAGAAAGTATTAAAACCTAAAATGAGGTTGCGGTGACCCTTGAACAATACCTTCACCCGATCTATAACACCTGCTGTGTCGATCCTGTAATGACCACACAAACAAATCATCTTCATCTCTCTAATATTGCAACATCTCTAATAAAATTATAAAAAATTCATCATTGAACAGAAATTAAAACAAAAGCATCAACGAACAAGAGTATGAACTGCTAAGAGATAGGATGGAAGAAAAAACATAGAGAATTATCAGAAAAGATAAAAAGAAGGCAGCTATCAAATCCAATAAATTGAACCTTGCAGCCTTGAATTCCTTCATGATTTCAAGAAATTCATAGTATTTTTCCTTCTGATCCTGAAACAGATCTTTCACCGCCTTCAGATAGGCGAGTGCATCACTCGTCGTAAGCTTCTGAGAGCCAACAGACTGTTCTTGGGGTTGTCCAGACCTAGCACCCAAACATCGATAACCGTAAGTTAACATCCAAGCAGAGAGAGAGAGAGCATACAGCCCAATTTTCAAAGAACAGCCTTACACAAAGTCATATCCACCATGAAAAGTCATATCCACCGCGCTAAGGAGAACCAAGAGGTGAGTGTGAACAAATATAGCAAAACATCCCAGCAGAGAGAGAGAGAGCATACAGCCGAATTTTCAAAGAATAGCCTTTACACAAGACCGTTTAAAGTTATGTCCACCATGCTAATGAGAACCAAGAGGTAAGTGCGAAAAAATATAGCAAAGGCATACATATACATTAACCAAATATTGTATGAGGAACCAAGAGGTGAGTGTGAATAAATATAGCCAAGGTGTACATATACAATAACCAAATGTTGTTTGAGACACAGAGCATGGCTGTATACTAAAACTGTATAGAAAATTAGCAATTGTTACTTTATATTGAATATACATGCACTCCTTCTTTGTATAAATCAGGCCTTCGTAAAATCATTTTGATTAATGAATAGAACACAGTTTTCTACAGTCATCAGATCTGTTTCCAAATACCACCCTACAATATTGTAGGATAAAAGCCACTAATCACGAATCTAACCTTCACCTCAGTTTCTTATCTGACTCTTAATGGATCAGTGATTTCACCTCAGTTTCTTAATGGATCAGTGATTTGTTCAGCAATCGTCCTCATATCTGAAATCTCATTTTGTGCTTTGACTGCGAAAGCTTAAACAACAACAAAATTCTTCATATGTTCCTCAAAAGAACATGTCTTGTATCAGATGCAATTATTATAAGGAGCTTGGACAAATGAAGTACACATGCCCAAAAAAAAAGAAACTCATCCTAGCTGTTGTCGTTGATAGAAATCAATAAACTCCAGCTACATAGCACATTGTTGCTACAGCTCCAACGACAGTGACTTTCACTGGATCAACTGCAGTCTATGATTTCCTAGTCTCGCCTGACTTCTGAACCCACTGCATCCTTCTCAAGTAACTCTGCTTCCACTTCTTGGTTGATCGACTCAAAAGCCTCCCGTCATATGACAACTAATGAGTCAAATCCTAGTTAATTGTAAGTCTTTTTCTGATACTATTTATACAATTAATGGAGCCACTATGAAAGTTTCAAAAATTGGCTCTATATCCCTTACTTCTGATCCTTCGAGTAAATTAAGCGTTTCTAATGTCTACCATGTTCCTTCAATGGCCATGAATTTGTTGTCTGTTGGTCAAATTACTCGCTCAAATTGTAATGTTATTTTTTGAATCTGTAATTCCAGGAGGTAGCTTTATATAGACTTCCTCATCAAGATCTCCATTAAGAAAAGCATTTTTAACATCGAGATGATAAAGGTGCCATTGTTGGATGGAAGACTGAAATCAATGTCCGAACAGTAGTCATATGGGCGACTGGGTAAAAGTTTCTGCAAAATCAATTCCATATTGCTACTTGTAACATTTTGCAACAAGACGAGCTTTGTATCATTCAATGCTGCCATCTGCTTTTGTTTTGATTTTATATACATATCGACATCCAACAACGTTCTTTCCTTTTGGAAGAGGTACAAGATCTCAAACATGCATGTGATCATGAGCATTTAATTCATCTATCATTGCCATAGTCCACTCAAGCTGACTTGCAGCTTCTTTGTAGGTCTGGGGTTCATAATAAGAATGAATAGAAGCAAGAACGGCTCAGTGCGGAGATAAAAAGGTTTCATAGTCAGCAAAATGGGTAGGTGGGACAGAGACACAGGTGCTTCGTCTAATAGTAGGAAGTGGCATAGAATCAACAGGTGTACGTGTTTGAGCAAGACTGTCAGCACCAGTTGGTTGAGTTCTTCCTAGTCTTCGAGTTAAGGAACAAAAGATGAATATTCAGGAGAGATTGGAACAAGATCAGAGAAAGGTACAAGAAAAGAAAAGTCAGAGAATGAGTCATCATCTTTATTTGAAAATGGAATATGCTCAAAAAACACAACATGTTTGGATACCCAAAGTCTTTTGGTCACAGGTAAAATTTGTATTGTTTTAGGTAATCAGGATAGCCCATGAAACAACATTTTATAGTCTAAGGAGACAACTTGCCTCGCTCAATTGAAGGTAACAAAACAAAGCAAGTACAGCGTACACACGTAAAAGTAAATAGGGAGGTGATCGAGTGAACAATTTTTCAAATGGTGATGGTCCAAACAAAACAAAGGATGGCATAATATTGATAAGATAAAATGTTGTACAAACAGCTTCTACCTAAAATTCTTTTGGAACAGAAGTAGACAAAAAAAGTGCTCCCCTTCAGAACAAAAAAGAACACCATTTTGTTCTGGAGTATAAGGACAAGCTTTTTTATGTTGAATGCTTTTGTCGATGAAAATTTTTTGAAGCAACCCACTAATATACTCCCCTTCATAATCTAAGCGTGGGGTTTTAATTGTAGTGGAAAATTGGGTTTCTACATATGAATAAAATTGACTAAAAACTTCTATAAAGTTCAATGAGATTATTCATAAAGAAAACACATGTATGACGAGTGTGATCATTAATAAAGGTTACAAAATATCGTGATCCTCTTTTACATAGAATAGTTGCAGGCCCCCACACATCAGTATGTACAAGATCAACTATAGAGGATGAAATGGAACTACTTCGAGAGAAGGGTAAAGCATGAGATTTTGCAAGTCTACAAATTTCATAATGTTTGCATCAATAAAGTTTTTATTTGCAACAATACCAAAAACATCAAGAGATAATAAAAATCGTAACTGAGAATCAGAAATGTGATATATCTCACAATTTCACATCTAGATATTGTTTACGCAGTTCATGTGGTTAGTATGCTTCTGAGAGCTCGTCCTTCTGTTCATCTAGCTGCTGTCATGCACATTATTCGTTATATTAGGGATACCCGTCAACAGTGAAGTCGATTGTCACCATGTTCGGCAAGAATATTTGGCAAGCACAATTTCTCTGCCCTATGTGCCTTCCTTTCCACTGCTTGGCTCGCGGACTTCTTTACCAAATCTCATTGTCCACATCACTTCTCGTGGTGTGTTTCCAAACTCTCTGTGATTTCTTTCAAATCATCAGTTTGAGTTTGAGGGGGAGTGTGAACAAATATAGCAATGGCGTACATATAAATTAGGCCTTTGTAACATCAACACAATTTTCTACAGTAAGATGGGTCTGTCAGATTGCACAAAAAAAAAAAAGACAATCTAGAAACCCACAGACAGATTTGAGTCATGGAAATTAGAAACAAAACCATCCCTGAGCAGCCATAGGAATTTTACTTGAATAACATATGCATAAGAAACAGTCTGAACTGATGAAGCCCCAATGTGTTACCAGAGCTACCCAGCATAATGATCAGAAAATATTCAAATTGGGACCAAGAGAGAGAGAGAAAGAGAGAGGGATTTTAAAAAGGATTTTTTTAAAAAAAGGAGACTTACAGATCCCCACGAGCAGGGCCATTCGAACGCCTGGGTTCGCCATCTTCTCGAGAACTCACCATCTTTTCGATCCTTCACTACTATATTCAAGCAAAAACTGCAGAATGCCTCTCTCTGTAACCCCAATCTTCTACAACAAAGTTAAACCCAAAGTTCGAGAGATTTCCCAGGCTTTCGGGTCGGGATTCTAATCACACCCCTAACCAGATCTACCCAAAACAACAAAACAAAAAAAACCCAAGCAATTCGCTTTGATCCCAATTACTCTCTGCAACCAATGTCCCCCCAATAACAGAACAAACGAGGAAAACAAAGGGACCAGAGACACTAGACCCCCGAACAAAAGCTCTACAACTTCTTAGATGGGTGAGAAAAACAACGTATATATTCACTGAGAACAGGAAACAAGGAAAAAGAATGAAGAAAGCTTAGCGAGGGAAGCGATAACAGAGATTGGGAGGCGCGCTAAGAGTTTAGAGAGACAAAGAGACTTGGTAGAGTCGAGAAAAAGAAAGTGGGATTGAAGAGGGTTCTCGGTTTTCTTTGCAGAGCAAGACTGAAAAGAAACGGTGGAGAAGTGAGTTGCGTTCAGTTAAATGCAAAAAAAAATTTTTTTTTTTTTTTAGGCATGATTATGAACTTTGTTACTTATCTTCTAAATTAGCGCACTTAAAAAAAATATTAAAAAAAAAATTGATAAATTCTCATCATTATCGTAGCTTAATTTTTTAATTAATTCGATTACCCACCGTAAACTTTTATTAAAGATCGTAGTTTCATATCTTTTCGAATTACTTTCAACCACATTTTTTTGGGCTTACCCCTTGTCTTTTTTAATCTTTTTATTGTACTAACTCGTACCTCTTAAGAGGTGTTGTACTAGGTCGGCACATATAACTAGTTCACCTAAATTCCTCTCTCATCTAATCACTTAAATTTTTTCAATTGGATTTATTTCAAATTTTATCCCTTCTTATCTTCCCACTCATCTATCTCAACATCCTTATCTCTGCTACATTCATGCTATGAGTTTTTTTTTTAGAAAATTATAAAAACACATTAAAATGAACTATCTATGCAACTTACCCTCACCCCAAATTTTTCTCACACTTTTTTCCCCAAACTACCTTTCCTCGCAAAAACCCCTTAACCCAAAAGTAACATGAAATAAGACTAAAGTACCCTCGTTTCTTTTCACACGGCCTTCACTCTTCTGTTTCCCACAATAAAGACGTGCTCTGGCAGTCCCAATATGCACACCGGCAGTACTTTGTCTGACCCACAGTGCTTCGGCATTCTAATAACTCACTCCGGCAATGCAACTACATGCTCCGACAATAAATCATCTGGAGCCACAGCGCTCTGGCAATGGAGGACTGCGTTCCGACAGTCTGAATGGACACTCCGACAGTCACAATGTGTGGTCCGGTAGTGCTTTGTCTGAGCCATAGTGCTCCGGCATACTGAGAACTATATTCCGGCAGTCTGAATGCGCGCTCTGGCAGTCTGAATGAGAGCTTCGGTAGGCATTTGTCCGACCCACAACGCTCCGGCAGTCTAAGAACGCGCTCCGACAGTTCGCTCTAGCAATGAAGTGTTTGGAGCCACAACGCTCCGGAAATATAGCACCGTGCTCCGGCGGTGCTTCGTAAAATTCCACTCCGGAAGTAGTATACTGCGCTCTGGCACTACTCTACTTGGGATCCGCAAATTGATTTGGTTTGTACGGAAATGGCATTTTTGTCTAAAAAATAAGAACTTTTTACCTTGGAGGGTTTTTGCGAGGAAAGGTTGCTTCGGGGGAAAAAGTGTGAGAAAAGTTTGGGGTGGGAGTAAGTTGCATAGATAGTTCATTTTAGGGTGTTTTTTGTAATTTGCCCCTTTTTTTGTCCGTCTAATATTTTGCCTCTTAGAGCAAAGCTGATCTCACAGTTGTCCTATAAGATTTACCCTTCAATTTCATTGGTACATGACAATCATATAAAATTCCAGTTTCACATCTCCACTTCGCCCCACCCAACTGTAAGTTAAACTGAGAGTTTAAGAGAGGACTAAACATCAAAAATTTGGTGTGAAAATATTATGTAGCAAAAAAAGTGTAGAGATGTGACATTGTGATTAGGGCCATCTTAGTCATCCATTCAAAATGGACAGTTGGATAGAGAGAAGTTTATAAATTTTAGGGAAAATTGCTAAAAACCCCCAAATATGTACTATCTAGGCACTTTACCAGGCCTAACTTTTTCTAACATATTTTTCCCCAAAACCAACTTTTTTTAGCTAATACCTCTAACTCAAAAAGTTATATTGTTTTGACGAAAATACCCCTTCATGTACCTTCACCATACAGAACAAATCATTTCGCCAGTTATGATGAACCCCATTACTACTTTCCGCAAATTGCGATTGTTATTTATCGGACATATGAATTCTGCCAGATTGCAATTCTACACTACTGAATTGCTTATTCCTGACAGCGTTATGACGGACTACCCCTACTCTGGTAAGTTAATCGCCGGAGCACTACTTCAAATCACGAAACTACCCCTACTCCAGTAACTCAAACGCCAAACCGCAACCATAAAATGCCGGACCTTCCACTCCAGTAATATAATCACCAGAGTGAAGCTTTGAAACGTCGGACCACAATACTCCAGTAAGACATCTACCAAATCGCAGTGGTCAAGTGCCGGATTGATCTAACCAAGGGCCAGGCCGAAGCTCTAAAATGTCGGACCATTGTACTCCAGTAAGGATATCACCAGACTGAATCTGTGAAGTGTCTGATAGTTCGGCATTAATGTCGGACTGATCCTTGTAAATTTTCGGACAAGCAAATTCCACCGGACCACAATTCTACATTACCAGACTGTTTATTCCAGACAGCGTTATGCCGTACCGTAGATTAAAACAGGCTGGACATAACATTATTCCAGACACAAATGCCAGACTGCACATTGTAAATGCCGTACTACCTCTACTCCAGTAAGTTAATCGTTGGAGTACTACTTCAAATCATCGAACGGCCCCTACTCTAGTAACTCAAACGTCGGACCACGCCCACAAAATGCCAGACCGCCAGCTCCACTAATATAACCACCGGAGCGAAGCTTTAAAATGTCGGACTGCCATACTCCAATAACACATATGCCGGATCACTATAGTCAAGAGCTAGATTGATCTAACAGAGTGTCGGACCGAAGCTCTAAAACGCCGGACCGTCTTACTCTAGTAAGATATCGCCAAACAACATTTGAAAAGTGCCAGAGGGTTCGACATTAATGCCAAACTGGTTCTTTGAGTTGTCGGACTAACCTTCTGCTAGAGAGAATTCTGTCGGACCGCCCCTGTGAAGTGTTAGAGTGCCCACGATTCTAATAACGTCTTTGTCGGACCGCGATAGTGAAGTACCGGATTGCCCCTTTTTCCAGGAAGCACATTGTTGGACCGCTCTTTTTAAGTGCCGGAGCGCCTTCTGTAAGTGCCGAAGCGCCTTCTTTAAGTGCCAAACCGCTTTGATGAACATGATATGAACATGTAAATGCTTATGCAATGACTAATTCCCAATGGATTGGCCTCAAATAAATCCCAATAGTATGGTATAGAGGGAGAGAATGCACAAATGGTTTGGAAGCTTTCTTAGCACATGAAATGTTTTGCCAGGCAGTGAAATATAGTTCAAACGTAAAAACATAACAAAAAGTGCCAAGTGAAAAATGTTTACAACCTGTTGCAGCCTTGAAGCCTTCAATCTCTATACCTATTTCATGAGCACCCTTGAATCTCTATATTCAAAAGAGTGAATCCATCAATAATTTTGTCGACCATATTACTCTCTTACGCATTGACCATATCATATCAATCTTTACAAACTCATGGCCTATCCTTGACCAAGTTTCAAAGCAGAACTACATCGATAAAGAGTATATTGAGTAGTTTGCATATTTATGTTAAAAGGATATTACTATTAGATTTTGCTTACATTAACATAATGATAACAAAAAGAATGGACATTTCATTAGCTGGCTACTATGATAGAGTAATTTCAATTGTACAAAAAGAATGGACATTTCACCATTTGAAACTAACTACTTAACATCTGTTTCAAAATCAGTACTTAGCATCTGTCTCAAAAAAAGGTTCATAGCCTTTGCAACTTGCATGAGTCACTTTACAAATTACATATTCAAGTATCATATAAAAAGTACATGTCAAACTGAAAAATACATATCTTTCACTTACTTGGCTTAAGCCATTTTTTTAGCCTGCTTGCAATACCCTTGCCCTTGTCATTTAGGCCCTTTGTTCTCCTCTTGTTTTCCTCATTAGTCTCGCTCTCTCTTTTTTTATCTCTAGCATCTCCCTCTCAGTCTCTCTCACTCTTTCCTTATCTCTATCATCTCTCTCCTCAGTCTCGCTTTCCTCATCTCTATTATCTCCCTTCTTGCTCTCGTTTTTGTCATCTCCACTATCTCTCTCCTCGTTCTCGCTTCCACAATCTCCTCGACATTATCTATATGAGTGTTCTGTAAGAGCAAATCATTGGTCGCCTGTACATAACGTCTAGATTCCCCTGCTAATACTTCACCACTAAGTGTAGCTTGTTGCATCCCTATACAGGTTAATCACTGCAAGTAGACAATAAAAAACAAAATTGATAATTACTTTGAATAGATAATTACTTTAAGTAAAAAAACTAAAATATATAAATTAAATAATATATCAATCTCCTCTCGTCATCATGGCCTACGAGAGGGGGCACATTTGATTGTGACTGTGAGGAGGGGGGGTTACATGGGAGTATTTCCATACATGTTGTTCCAGGTTATATAATCTTTTGTAGGCATTCCACCATATTTATCTACAGCTGCCTTAACAACATTGCGTTCTCATTGCTGCCAGTCGCTTATCTCACTACTCAACTCGTCAATCCAACAAACCTTCTCACTCCTATCCCACTGGGGTGGCCCAACAAGAATCACTTGTATCTTCCCAAATTGTCGCAGCACACGATCAGGCCTATAGTACTCTACAATGTAGAAACTTATCAGATATGATCGGCGCAACGTGTTTTCTTTACTGAGTGTATCTAATGGGTTGCACTCCTCATATGGTTGCCAAGTCACCTGCAACAATAACATAACACAACATTGTTAATGGGTCTTTACATTAAACGTTGTCAATTGAGATGACATAAAAAACATGACACTTACCATGTCACTTACAACAAAAACATAACACTAACCATGTCAATTGAGATGTTATCAAACGTTGTTAATAGGTCTTTGCAGCGTAGTTGTTTAATCCACTTGCAAGCTCTAGGCATTTCTATGATGATAGTTTTAGGTTTGGTACATAGAGCTCGAAAATGCTCATAGACTCAACACTATACAAACAATAACTAGAAGTAATTAGTTTGAAGTAAAAAAGATTGTAAATATCTAAATACTTTCTAAAAAAATGGTAAAAATTACATGTAGTAGTGTTGTTAATCCACTAAAATGCGTATCCTCGTCCGTGACCTTAAACAAGGAACGATACAAGAAGGCAAGTGAT